TAGTTCTATACTAAGTTTTTTAAGCACTGCGATACTACAGTATTTACAGCAGCACGAATCGATTTCAAATAAACGCTTCGATGTGAAACTAAAGATTGGAAAAATGATTAAACATGAAAACAATAAATGTGCTACTAATCGAATACAATTTTGATTCAAGTTTAAAAAATACAGAGTTATGTTGTAGCTGAGAATTACGCTCTTGGTTTAGCACTTACACCCACAATTTTAATTTTAGTACCATTGGGATACGATTAGGGTTCATGTCTGTCTATAAGATTGTCATTATTAACAGTAAGCAATACCGCTATTAGCAACATAATGAAAATATTTTTCAGATATCTATTGACTGTTAGCTTAATCACACATAACAGGCTCTAAATTTAAAAAAGCGCGAGTGTGATATTTAAATTTTTTCGGGTTTTTATTAATAAAAAAAATCGTTTGCTAATAGATTTATGAGAATATTGCAGGTATATGTTGTTTTCTATCTCAATATGTACTTTCAGTTCAATTTCCAATCAAAACTACGCTCGAGTGAATAAAACCAAAAGATTCTACCTGTTCTAGGGGGAGAGGTGAAATTTTTTAATTTATGGTCTAATATTTTGATCAATAGGCTTGTTACGTGCAGAAATAGATTCAGAGGTTAAGAAATGTCGTGAATCCAGACACAAACAATTTTTTTTTTTAATGCACTTTATTATAAAAACAATACCTTTGCAGCCTTACATCGTAGCTAAAATTTTAGGTAACAATAATACATTTAATAAGAAATTTCATTTTTAGGTTTTTTAACAAAAGAAGTGGGCATGACCTCCGCTGCACGGAAGTACGTAGGAACATGGATATGTCTGAATATACAAGTATAGGACCCTGGTACTTTCTAAGATCGTATGTTTTATCTCTAATCTCTTAGTTCCGAATCGAAACTAAAAGAAAGTGACATAAAAAAATCAATCTATGAATAATCCAAAGGTCAAATAAAATAAAATATTGAAAATGAATACTACTCAGGAACAGGACATGGACATGGACACAACTTCTCGATAAAAATACAAATACAAATCACGACGGATTTACTCAGAAATTGTTAAAATAAAATATTTAAATGATTGTAACATAAGTATAAACTGTCTCCCAATAACAATAATTGCATACACAAACAACAAAATATGCTTACTAAGAACAGTAACATCTTACTGTCTAAATTTAATATGGTGTTTTACCAAAGACGAAAAAGAGAAAACGTAATTAATACTTTGTAAAAAATATCCGTCAATAGAGAGAGCAAATTTGTAATGTTTTAAATTAACAAACAACTATTGTACAGGTTAAACATTTTGCATTCCTTGCAAAAACTCCAATAGCGTTTAGATGTCATAAATATGATAATCATATTGAAATTTAATCCTTTAATTAAAACGTAAATATAATTAAAAAGTAAAAACCTAATAAATCTATAGCTTTATACAAAATTAATTTGGATGTCATAATATACCATATGTACCAAAGTACTAGTCAAGCGTGGACGTACATAATGTAATTTGTAAATTATGAATATTATATTATGTAGTGTGTAAATAAATATTATGTTTAGCATTCGTTCGACGAACTCTTAGTCGCCAAGACAAACGGGAAGACCTTAGTATACGCGGCGATTTTAACACAACGTATTGTTGTCAAAAAAAATCTATTGCATATCCTTGTGGCTATACTCAGTAGATACTAGATGAGTTTATTGTTAGAAATACGATCACGTTAGCGGTTAGACTGCACCGCCAATAAATAGAATGAATACCATGCACATAATCGATTCGTCGCCGTCACACAAAAGTAACTCTAGAGGGAGCAGCAGCTGCACTAGAAATTTCAGGATAGAATTCCAAAAAATATATTCTCTTCTATTTGAATAACGCCGACCAATTGATAATAAAACCATGAAGTCCCTATTGCAAACAACATACTTATAAACAAAAAATAATAATAACAAAACAAAGTTATAGCATTACCAAAATACAACAAAGTTCAAATTAAAACGATATAATTTATGCGGAGCTCAAAAGGTATTATTTTTACAATGACAGCAGCAAAATGAACAACATCGTAACCACTATGCAACACAGCCATGAAGAATTTTGCGATTTTATAATAATTCTGTATTTTGTATGCATTTTATATGTTATATTAAACTCTGGTTTAATAATATTTACAGTCCTGTTACTGCACTAACCACCTCACTATGTTCCGTCACCACTGTGCTGGATTTTTTCCTTGTATCAGTAAAGATGAGTCGGTGAACCTAAACATCATCTTTCGCGCTTACTTTTTGACTCAATCTCGCTCACCCGAGTTGGGCAAAATTTAACTAAATAACGAATAACCCCGAAAACAAATCGAATAACGTATCAATTGAAATAAAAAGATATTAATTTATTCAAATACATTTTTATTAGATCATTTTTAAATAACATTATTTTAATAATTAAAAAATATAACTATTAGAGTACAAATTAATTCTTATAAACAATCAACTAAAAAATTTAAAAAGTGCCTAACTCTGTCTAAACACCCTTGTTTTTTTCTTTATTCTTTCACCCCTCTGTATGAACATCTCCAAACATAATTCTGTTTTTATTTCACGCATGTTGTCTTAAATATTCTACTGAGTAAAACGTTATGACTCTATTACTAAAAACAATTATTAAAGATGAAGATATTATATAATTATTAATTTCGAACCTTAAAACTATTTTTTTTATTGATAATTTCTATTAAAAATATTACCATTGAGTGTACGATATATTAATATTTTACTATTTGTATTAAATAATAGTACTAATATCGTATATTCTCCATATAATTTTCCGCTATTTCTCTCTGAATGTTTTACCAAAAATATAATGTTACAAAATGTCAGCTGACAAAACAAAATATAATACCTATCCAGTCATATCTCTATATATGCCCTTAGCTATTTTTCTCAGTCTTATATTCCAGTAGTTACAAAAATAAAAATGATAGTGTCAAGTTGGAATATGTACAATGTAACAAATATAATGATAAAACATTATATTATAATGTACCAATCATAAGGATAGAAACAAATCTGCAACTACCTAACGTGAAATATATTACACGCGTGTCAACCACACACTCAAACATACTGCTAGTCAATTAATGTCACGTGCCTAGCTTTAAAATGTTCTAAACGTTGAGTATACCTAATTTTATGAGTCATACCGCAAAAAAATAGATAAACAACTCAGTTAATAGCTGACCTTTAAAAGTTCAATATTTTTAAACAATCCAGTGTCTGGCGCATACCTAAATACCTATAGTTTAAACTTAAGTATTAGTTCGTATATTTTTTTCTTATTTTTACAATTAAAAATCATTTAAATTTAATTTAATTATTTTCCTTGGTAGGTAAAATAAAATAATGATTTTTGCAACCTGAATTGCAAGCTAAATCATTTACCTAAATAAAATTATCATATTACAGTGTTTTTGATGCACTAAAAACATAGCATCAAATATTTTTATAGTCTGATACTTATGTTAGATACGAATACTTATATATGTGTAAAAGTATAGGGTAAGTGTTTCTGTACACGTTTATCAAATAAACATGTAAGTATATTAAATCCCATACACGAAAATCTTCTCAAGGCCTCGCAACACAGATCATTCATTTAAAACTATCGATCAATTTGTTTTCAGTCCATAGGTAAACAACGACAACAAAACATACCGAGTGAAAGTAAATTTCTTACTAAAAATTAAAATGATCTTAGGTTTTAGGTACACGGACAATTATTTCATACCACCTTGCTTTTCACAATTCAGAGTCGTTATCATCAATCATATCATTACAAAACATTTTAGATGTATAAGTGAATATTCTATGTTATTCATGAAACATCACGATAGAATAATCACATAAAACTATAATATAACGAACAATTTAATCAAATACATACAAATTAATTGAGCCATTATTATGTAATTGACTTATCATCTATAAACAGTTTAGTATACCTACTCAATTTTTTTTTTAAGAGTATTTATATTGCTTTGATAACAAAAAGAAACCACACAAAAATATGATTACATAATTCGTATTGCCAATGATTTTGGTCAAACGACACGTTACAGATATCCTACATTCAAGTATAATAAATAAATGTAAACAAATTTTGTTAATAATCAAAACATTTAAGTTCATGACAACCTTTCCTCCCTCGCAGAGGAAAAGCGAATTAAATTACTATGAAAAAAAATCCTTTTATTTTTTAACTTGATGGACGATTTTTTATTTTGGATATTTTTGTCTAATGGAAAAAATGCTAAGCCATTATTGTTTTGTCAAACTACAACCAAAGTGACCTAATATTTTTATATCATTAAAGAGTAGCTCAAAATTAGCAAAACAAACCCGTTGTAAATATTGTTAAAGGTGTTATTTATGATACAAAATATTATTTTGTATCATAATATGTTGAAATAAGTAATACTACTTAAGTTAAGGTGTACACAAGTTGTTTAGTTGTATATTCAAATAATATATACTAGGTAAAATGTTTTACACTTCCATTAGTTTCGATTCTCTTAGGAAGATTATGAATACTTAATGTATTCGGAAGTGTAGTCTATTGTGTTCTATATTATCGTAAAACAAAACACTATCTTTTTGATCCCTATAACATGTAAGATGCGTTTTAGAGCGATAATCATCGAATAATTCTGATAGGTTTGGTCAATAATGTGTATGGATTATTTTCGAATGGAATTTAATGAAAATAATTATTATAGAAAAAACCTACTATCGTAACCGGTAATTATTTGTCGGTCCCTTTTTATTTCCGAGGGTAGTGGCTTTGAAAAGGATTTCTTTGTGCCTTTGGGAAACAAGGCACAGAGCCTTGATTACATTTATAAATACGACCCAATTGCCAAAAACAATAGTTATAACAAACACTTTTTATACAAACACTTACTAGCAACGCTAATATTGTTGACTTGTACTTAGACACAAAAATCACAAACACAATTTGAATAAACCCGAAACGAACCCGCGAGGGAAATAATGCATGTACACCAATGAAAAAATATATCTAACTCGCGCACGCACTGCCAACCGGTTACGCACATACTGACTACATAGCTGGTGGTTGATCCGAACCGGCGGCCGCGCTCAGCAACAGCAGCTGCTGCTGCAGCCTAGTTGATGAGCGCTCCCGCGTCCCGTTACCACCGCACTGCAGCCAACTAAACCGGTTGACGGCACACGCCTATGGACCCACAGACGTCAGCCCTTGGTCGCCTGCCAAGGTTGGTAACGCCGAATTCGCAAGAACCGAGTTTTTTTATTCGTGTCTGCCGGTTGAGCCGAAAACGACAAACGACCTTGCCCGCGGCGCGGCCAATAACAACTATTGCCCAATGACAAGACTAACGAATGATAGACGCCACTCGGGACAGTCTTTTGGCCAATATACCGCGGTTACGGAAAGCAATCAGAACCAAACGTGTGATGCATAGGATACGGGAATTCTTGATTTTATATATCTGTTAATATTTTAGGTAACCAATTGCAATGTTAAGAAAAAGCCGGTACAATGGGGTCGGGGCATAGTGGAGACGTAGCATATTGGGGCGGAGAAATTCGATACGAACTATTACAACTGAAAGTCATGAAATCACCTTCAAATAAACGCTAACTCTCACAATAATTGAACTCGGTGTATTCCACGGTGTCGATTAGGCGATAGCAGTATACATTTTGGACTCGGCTATGCTTCTCTTCTACAAGTACTCCTGAAAGTACACACGACCTCTTAACTTTTGTTACATAGAACAAAACCACAGGGTTGATCACTCTATTCATCTAACCAGCCTTGCCAAGACTTAGATTCGTCTGATCCACCTACCTTTGAATAAAGCTTTCGGCTTTTCTTGCCTCCTAATAATTGCTCTGTTCCTTTCCTCCGTTATATTGGTAGAAATTCGAGTGGGAACTTCTGCCTTGCCGAGCTTCACCCTCTCTCTCTCGTCGGACGGTAAATCTGCTGGTGGCATGCATGCCAATTTTTCCCAGTGTCGCGTTATCAGACACCGTGCAGTAGGCTGTGATTATGAAAAGCTATAAACGTTGAACTCTTATACACAAATTCCTGTTATTTGACATCATGAATGCGTGGTTCACCCGTGTTAATGATACAGGGGAACATTGTTGAATGTACTACTGTTGTTAGCAACTATATTTTTTATTGAGACGGGCCCCGATAGGTGGCATGAGCCTTCCAATTTCATTTTTAGTTTTACAAATTTTCATAAGTACTAACTATATATGTAGGGCGTAGGCACGTTTGTGTGTGTGTGTTAAAACTAAGTTTTATGTCTAATCGGACATCCAAGTATGTAATTGACTGCCTTATAATTATTTGGTTTCCATCGATTCTTAATTGTACGCCCACATGCGGGTAAGCATTACTGCCTCTAGCTTTTGCGGAGCCATTTGCTGCCTGTAATTCTGTAATTCTTATTATCAATTATTCTTATTTCATTATTTTATTTCAACTTTTATTCTTAAATTTAAACTTGACGGCGCGGCGCTAAGAGAGCGAACACCCAACTCTCGATGGCCTGCCGTACAATAATAAATAACAAAATGTAATGTGTAGCCAATTTGATATCACATGTGTTAGAGAGCCAATCAAAACTAGCGATTTGCTACAGGTTCTTTAACAATGTTTGGTATGCTTAAATGCTTCCGGTTAGGAAATGAACAGTATCGCCTGAAATAAGAGAAAAATGGAAATTATCTTCATACTGCCTACCATGATTCTCCCACAGGTGTAGCAAATCATCCCACAAAGAGTGTATGTAATTCCTGAAAAGTGTCTCTTTTAGTTTTTTGTGATACAACTAGACTGCGGACATGATACCACAGACTATAAATAAATAAATAAATAAAAATGAATATCTGTCTGTCTGTTTGTCCTTTATGCATTAGTACACCATTCATCCGATTGCCATGAAACTTTGGGATGTTGTTGAGTACACTCCCGCGAACCTAACTGGCATAGTACTTTTCGAAAATTCCACCCTAAGGGTGGCCTCTAACACAAACGTTGTACTTTAAATGCGAAATGTAAATAAATTAAATGTTTGTAACCATGGTAGCCCAAAATAAACACTTGGTTGTAACCATGGTAACCACGGTACTCGAGGAAATGGTAGGTGATGATTAATGGAACAGGCCGATTCTATGTACACGGGCAAGCTTTTAACTGTTGGAACGGGATCTGGGACTGAGACCCTTGAGTAAGAGGATATAATAACCGAAAAAAGTGTCACGCTGTTATCTGATAAGAGATAAGATATAAGTGATGAGGGGTGAGGAGGGGATGAAGGTGGGGTAGGAATGGGGAATGGGAATTATTTTACTCAGCCCTGGCAGACTAAATCTCGGGCAACGCCGGGTCCGGACAGCTTGTAATATATAAAGACAAAATTTACTTATCTTCGTGGTAGTAACATTTAATCATAACTCTATCATCATATTATTGCGATGATGTCACATCACGTCATAACGCACTTCTGACGTTTTTCGGGCTAAGCACTGCACAAGAAGTATAACTTCAAAAGTTTCCACCCTTTCTAGGCAAACCTGTCACTAAATGGTTACTATTGTTTTTTAGGTTTAAACTGTACATCGATAATTTATACTATAACATAACATAAGTTTAAAAGAAATTCGAGCACAATAGATCGGGAAATAGTATGCATGGAAAATTGTTTATCGATATTGCTTTATTTAGAGAACATTCCACTTCAATTAGAACTAATTCGATTATTTTTTTAAAAAACTTATAGTACACGGTAATATAATGTTGTAAATATGTACATTTTTAGAACGTTTTCTTCATTTTAAAGGGGAAGGAGTAAACTTTTTAATTTTTTGGTAAAAATAAATACCTTAAGTTACAATTTCTGATTTACACACCAGAGGGGTAGTTATGATTTTACCCTGGGTGAGGACAAAACATCATTTAAACACCAATATGTGGAGGCTACATTGACATAAATTCTAACAAAAAAAAATAAGTAATTGCAATTCAATTGAAAATTTTTTCTATAAACATTAATCAATTACATTTTCAGAAGCGTCTACAACTGAAATAATTTATGTAAATCTTCATCACTGCATATGATAGTTGATAATTAAACATTCTTTAATACATCATACACAAAAATATACAAAAAAAGTTATTTTTAATTGTTTTGTGGATGGTTGTATTATAATTTATAAGTATAATCATTTATCTTCTACCATTACATGGTGTTATCATATTATAAAAATAATTTAATAATTTACCAATTTAATAAAATCTATTTTGTGTATTTAGATTTAAGTACTAGTAGAAATTACTGAATTATAGGTAGGTATTATAGGTATAGGTATAATAATATTCTATGTTCTAAATAAAAAAAAAAGAATTAATTCATAACTGACTAATTATATTTTTATTTTTGAATTTAAACAATTAAGGTTATGTCTGATATATATCTACAAATTTATTTTAACACACAACTTATTTATTCAGCAGGTGGTACACCCAACTCTTCATCTGTCCATTTTGTAGCGTCCGGATATTCAAACTCCCCCTAAAAGTATTTGTAATCTATATATTTATACAAGGTACTTTTATTTTATAATATAATAAACATATAATTATACTAACAAATATATGTTCGGGTTCTGTTACACATTTGTAAATTACAAATGCTAACACTATACCCATGGAAGCATCAGCAATTTTATTTTTCTTTATATCCCAATCGTCAAATTTACAATGGCCTCGATAGTGAAACTCGTAATGTAAATCCAATGTATACCTGAAAAATATAATCACAAACTTCAGAAATCTAGGGTACAAAGTGCAGTTTGATCACGGGTAGAGTGTAGCAAAAATAATATGTAGCTAGTTAGTTCTCATAGAACGCACTACTAATGAATTACTGTGACTCGCTGTATCTCCTGGTGGCAAAATTTTAACAATTTACAATAACCCTAAAAGTAGCCAAACTAGCTAGGTAAATATTAATCCTGCTCTCATATTATAAACAGTTCTTATATTTTTACTTTTGTAATTAAAATTGCAGCCGTTAAATAAACCTTTTTATTCCGCCCCAACCCTTGTATTGAATTTATTTAGATTTTCCCCAACCTGAGCACCGCGCTGATGGTATAACTGCACAGAGATTGGTTGATTAATTTCCAGATATTGTGATTAAGAAGTTCATTAGGCATTGTTTATACTTATAATTTAAAAAAAAAATCCAATTCATATTTCTAAATAAAAATTAGTACCAGTTATCATACAATATGTTACATTGTCACTTTTATACAAGATAGTTTTTTCAAGAAATAAGTATTAATACAAATTTTACAATAATTAACAACAAAACAATATTATATTACCAAAGTGAAAATATTAGTAATGAGAAATAAATACGAATAATTTTCAGTAAAAAATTTAAAAAAATAGTTTTTTGAATGTGTTGAAACTTTCGCGGATTGCAATATCACATGAATGATTTTCGGATACATCTGCGTCAATGGTTGTTAACCGACGTTTCGGACTCTTTGCAGAGTCCATCCTCTGAATTATTACCCTGAAGATGGAATCTGCAAAGAGTCCGAAACGTCGGTCAACAACCATCGACGCGGATATATCCGAAAATCATTCATGTGAAATAGTTTTTTGTTAATATAAAACACATTAGAAATAAGTTCTATAAAATTATGAACAACTCGTAACTACAGTTTGATAATAACATATAGATTTAAAGGCTAATTATAGTAATAGAATATTATACTTATCAACTTACTCTCCGTTTAGTCCTTCTCTGCGAGCGACTGTGTCGGTTTTACCCCAGTGTCTTTTAAGAGGCGTCGCATGAAGGGACCTGATATGTTTGGATAAACCAACATTTCTGGTAACAATTTTATTAAATGAGTTTACACCACTCATGATAATAATAAAATATTAACATAAACACACCAAATTTATTTTATTATAATTTGTAAACTTGAATTTAAATATATCCTTTACTCAACTAGAAACCTATACAAAAAAAAATCACAACTCCTAATTTCACCAACTATTGTCCATATAATCTGACAAAATATGTAAAATTTTGTTATCAACTAATAAAAATGTCTGTAATTTTTGTCTATCATCAAATAAAAATCAGCTGTAGTTACCAGCTACCTGGTACCATGTTATCCACTGATAAATCGTGATAAGACATTTATGTTATCATAATGACAATACCACAGAATACAATTTAATTACTATTTTTAAATTTTAGCTTATAACAATCGGTGATACAAATATAAAAAATAAAATTATCGGTTAATAATACTATTTTATACTCATTTATATCATGCAATTGCTATTGTATTATTACTAATTTACGTTTCACACAAATCAATTTACCATTGAAGTATTTTAATATTAATAACCTTAATCGATTAAAATTATCCATGTCATCTTTACCAGAAACTCGATCAGAAAATTGCGTGGTAAAGGAATTGTTTGTGTCATCAAAAACACCTATTCAGGTAAGACTTTATTATTTCTTTTCTTATTCATACCAAAACAATTGCACCTAAGTGATACTTAAGTTTTTTCAAGCAGTAGTCGTCATAAATTAAGTACAATATTTTAAAAGCTGGAAAAAGAATTACAGTATAAAGAAGTATGATATCAAACTTAAACAACTAGATATATGTTGTTCGTATTATAGTGAATACACTCCTGCCAGTCTCAAATATCCCACAGAACACCTGTTGTAGAACTATTCCTATTTTGTTATTGTTAAATACTGAGAAATCTCAGTCAGATATTTAATGTATAAATATGTTTCCATAAGAAATGAAAATAGTGAATTATATATTTTTAATTTATGAACATAATTTTAGTTATTTTGTTTAAAATGTATTTTAGTGTCATTTAACTCGTGCAGCTAAACATCTCGAATTAGATAATTCTGTTTTAATACTTAACGGTCTTGGAAAATCAATCAATACAACAATTGCAGTTGCTTTGGAACTTCAACAAAAATTTCACAACACAATAAAATTGGAAGTGCAAACATCTACAGCAGATATTAATGGTTTGTTTCTAAACGACCAGCAGTCTTAAAATATAATAATAAAAACTTATTATATTATTATTTCTTAGATATTTTAGAACCCTTGAATGACGACGACGACTACGAAGCAAGAAAGCGTTCACTATCATCTATTCACATCAAAATAACCAAATAAAATGCTGTTTGCATTGCAAGAGTTGGTCAGATGGCTTGGGTTAACAATTTTCGAAATGCTAGTTCATTTGTTAGCTTTGCTAATATTCACAATTTTTTTGGCACTTCGACTGGATGGAATAGCTTTTGCATCATCTGCTCCCAACTCCTATGACATGTGGATAGTGTTTTCACCACTTTTTGTTGCCGACGCGCTTTGTATTTATTTCAATATAATTGTACTAATTCGCTTATACATTGAAGGCCACATTAAAGAAGCAGTTACAAGAACTATTTGGTCCTCGGCGATGCTATTTGTTTGGTCATTGTTCAAAGTTCTTCTTTGTAGAAGATTAGCCGGTCTATCAAATTTAGATTATTCAGAAATTATGTCACCGATATTTCTTGTATTACAATTAATAGCCATACGGGCTTGCCAATTACATTAGCTGTTAAGGAAACCATAATCTATGTACTTGTCTGAAATAAAAAAAATATATTTATATATATATATTAATATGAAGTTTTGATTTTTTAAGCTTTGTTTATGATTTTTAATTCCCTCAAGTATTTGGACTATACACTATAATGTTGATCTCCAGATCATTAAACTCAAAAAGGGTTTGTGGTTACCTACAATTTAACAGTTGCTTAAAGTTTTTTTCGTTAACTACTACATACTTACTATATCTATGATATGTCATCGGGCTTATTGTGAACTAGGGGGGCAAAGAAAGAACAAATCCTAAACTTGTTCAGGCTCAAAAAAAAATGTCCGCAACCAATCAGGCACAGCCATCAAGTAAGGTTTTTAACTTTTATCAAAATTCTAAGGGAGCTTTCAGTTTTTATAAGGTCAGAACTTCTTCCACCCCCTCATTGTCTTCTGTTGGGGCAAACACATATTAAAATTATATTAAGCCATCTGACTTCCGGCGCTTAAGTACTCATGACTCAACCCATGATTAATATTTAATTGTTAAGGAAACAATCTAAATTAAAAAAATATATATATATATTATATTCTATTGGGTTTGGGTTATAGTATACAGCTTTCTGTGCATGACTATCAAAACTATACCGTTTTCTAGGAACCTGGAAAAATGTTGGCAGTATTTGATTTTGATCATACAATAGTCAATGAAAACTCTGATGTCGTTGCTCGAGATTTATTACCCTCCGAGGATGTTCCAAAATCTAGTAAAACATATTCCGGTAAGTGGACGCAGTATATGCAACAAGTATTTTGTTCACTGAACAATTTGGGAACATCACCGGAAGAAATAATTGATACCGTCTCCAACATGTGTCCAATTGAAGGCATGCCGAAATTAATTAGATCACTCCACGAAAACAACTTTGATGTTATCATTGCATCAGATTCAAATTCTCTATTTATTAATGGCTGGCTAAAATATAACAACTTGGACGATGCTGTAGTATGTGTTTACACGAATCCAGCTAAAATTGAAAATGGTCTCATTAATATAGAACCGTTTACATTGCAAACAATTTGCAAATTGTGCACAACAAACATGTGCAAAGGAAATATTGTGGAAGAACACAAATTAAAAACAAATAACATATATACCACAATTGTTTACTCGGGCGATGGCAAAAATGATTTTTGCCCAGCTGTAAAATTAACAAAGAATGATATTGTTTTCCCAAGAGAGGGATACGAACTTGAAAAGTTATTAAAAACACATGCTATACAAGCCAACGTAGTATCATGGAGTACTGGAAAATGTATTTATAATTACCTAAAAACTCGTAAATTAATATTGTAATTTGTAACGTTAAAAAAATTATAATTTTTTTTTTAAGTTTATTAATATTTAATTTTTTTAAGAAATAAAAGTTTTTTTCCAAAATTATAAATTCTTTTTAAAGTCACAATATATTGTGGTGAATGATTATTATGTATTATTTCTATGATCATTAAACAATTCCAATTATTTACAGGGCTTTAATTATTTTTTTTTTATAAAATACTAATTATTTATTATCCTACTATAATTTTTGCATTACCTAAAGAAAAAATTATATTAATAACAAAAATTAAAGAAACTGTCAACCATGTCCGCTACACGTATGGTGGACAGCTACATTTCATGAAATGGAGCATTTTGCTTATATTTTTTGGCAAATGTATAATGTATAGTTTGAACTTGCTTTTAACCTCCGAGTGGTGTTAACACTGGGATTGTTGGTACTTTTGTCAAACAGAAATTAAAAGGCAGTGTAACACAGCAGTGCAAACGCCAACGAGATTTTTTAAAGACGTGACTGCTTGGAGGTTAACTCAAAGATTTAAGTAGTTGTGTAGCCGAGAAATGTTATCAATCTAAAAAACATTTATAATAAACAATTTTATAAATTCTTTCTACCAAACAATGTACCAAAATTTAACAACAAAAATGTCAACACAAAAACAAGTAGTTGTAATTTAAATCATTGGACTATAATTTTTACAACTGTTTCAATGGGTTAACTAGGAAGGCGGAGTGGACGTTCTAGATAAATGTGCTGAAAATAAAAACAATTTATTGATTAATTAGCAGTTCATTTAAATAACTATACAAATGAAAGTAAATGTGTTTAATAACTTACGACGTGGTCTTGGTATTCTTAAAGATTCACTGTCATTTATTATAATTTCATAATCTAAATCTCTATACATATACTTAACGCTTAGTACTTTGTCTTCTCCAATACACGGATCATAAAATCCAGGCAGTTGGCTCTTAAGAAAAAAATATAATTTTAAAATTTTTGAGAACAATTTAAATAATATGAAATGCAAATTACTTTGGTTGTGGTATGAAGTATAAGTTGTGAATCCTTGACTAAACATTGTAATGGCACTGTTACATCGATGATATTTGGTTGTAATGTGCTGCCCTCGTCAAAAGACTGACCGGATTTTCTTATCAGTTCAGCGTTGCCATATCTTGCTAGAATAATAATTAATCCACGTTTCTCAGTCTCTTCTCTTACTATTCTTTCCATGGTGGCCATCATTAGGTTAATTGCCGATAATGCTTCTTGGCGTAGTTGGGCCATTCTGAAAAAAGAATAAATATACATAGTAATGTTTAAAAGCAGTGGGGTTGTCGTAGGGGTATACACAGTGTATACCCACTTGCATTAACTCATCACGAAACTTGTGTACTCCGCAGATACACAATTTTAATCAGAGTACATGACTATACATAGAAAAGTGTGAGGTAGGTATACACAGCACATACCCTACAACTACGCCAATGTTCTGTGTAAAAGGTAAAAATGATTTAGAGCTAACCGTTTTTTGTTCATTTCACGTTGTTTGTTAATCTCTCTATTTTTGTATTCTTTCATAATTGGGTCCAATATTATATTTTTAGCAACGAACCACGAAACGAAAGGAACAAAGGTAGCGTAGAATATTGGTGCTGCAATTATATCATGACTAAGCAGAATTGGAAAAATGTACGTCTGACCAGCTCTAACAAATCTGCAAACCATACACATTTTTCAAAAAATATATAAGTTACAAGGAGTTAAGGAGAAAGACATTGTACTTTACTTTAATTTAAGTGTAACTCCATTTAATACATCAATTTGAACAGTAGCAGCAAATGTGTTAAATTTTGATACTTTTTTTTCTACTCCATATTCTAGTTTTGAATTTAGTATACCAGCTCTAAATAAATAATAATAATAAATACTAGTAAAATAATAATAATAACGGTATTTATTACGATTAAGCTTCGTCCACACTAGCGAGCTGAACTTCAAATAGCAATCGGTATGTGTTTTAGCCGTAACGTGTTTGTGTAGTATTTTGGGGTTTGGCTCGCTAATATGAACGAGGCTTTACATACTTGACATATATTCTTAACAACATATCCTGTTCAATGAATTTCCATGTGTATAATATGCTAATAGCTGGGGCAAATCCTACTTCTAGCTTACACATACAATAACTTTTTTCGGTATTGTGTTCTATTTCGGTGGAGAGATTAGTGTGTTTCAATGACGACAATTGGCCACCAAGAGATATATAGCCAGAAGTTCGACTCCCCAGACTAGTACCCAACATAACACGACCAATGGGCTTCAGCTGTCCACTGCTCAGATCACTAAGACTGCCCTCGATAGTACCGAATACATTTTTTGTTATCATTCTGAAATTTATAATAAATAATACATTGTAAAAATTTTTAAAAAAAAGTTATACTTTATATACTAACTTGAATATTTTAGCACCCACATGAAGTCCATTTCCAGCAGTTATGTCGTATTTAACCCAGCCATTAGTACTTAATAGCCTCTTGTAACTACTGGATACTATAAGTATAAAACATGATATACTATTTAAAACTTAAATACTAGACAATAGCAAATTAAAATGGCTTGCCTGAGCCCGATCGGGATGATATATTTCCACTGAGAACAATAGTATCTCGCAACGAGATAGGCGCTTCTGTAGACATGGACATAGACATTGACGACATTTCAATTGAAGGTATGTATATATAACTATCCACACTATAAAAAAAATGTAAATAAATAACCTTTTCGCTTCACATTGAAGCCAAAAATCAGTAGAATGACAATTTAGTTTGTATATTACTCTTCATCATATTCCAAATATTGATTAGGTTCAAAGATATCTGTAGCATCAATATGAGCTGTAAATATACATCTAGCATTTGTTCGTGAACGTAACATTCTTTCTTCGCGATCTCTAAATTGTAAAAATTTATTGGTAGCAATAATGTGTATAAACATAAACATTTTATATACCTCGCAAGAGCTTCATACTCTTCTCGAATCTCTTGTGGAGTTTTTGTTCTGTGAACAATTTCCCATCCTTCGGTTTTTAATCCTTTGACACCAACGCAATCATAAATTGCTCTTTGATGTGGATCTTTTAAGACTAATATATAAAAATAATTATTTATTTATTCCCACACATATTAATTACTAAGTTCTAAGTATAATCTATACTACCTTCATATGCTTTTTGAGCTTTGTTAAACAATATTTCAGCATCTTTTTTTTTGTTTTCATCCACATGCTTATCGGGATGGAAAATTTTACTTAATCGCCGATAAGCAAAAGTAATTTCTTCCTGTGTGGCCTAATTGTAAAAACGTAATATTAATTAAAGTTAGTAATCCAAGTTGTAACCACTTACAGTTTTGGGCAAGTTTAACACAGAATAGTAGTCTTCTTCTAAAAAATCGTTTTCGGAATCCACGTCCATGGTATTGAGGAAATATCCGTAATAAAACTAATACAGTATTACATGGACAACAATCATCAAAAGTATACAGAACCGAAATCGTTATTTACATTTTACAACACCATAATAATATAACCCGTTGGATACGAACGAAAATCGAAATTAAAATTTGCAATGTGCACGAACATTTATATCACGGTAGTTACTAGTTCACTCTTAATTTTTTTTTAAATGATATCATCGTTATCAGTATACTCTTGCGATTGCCATAGATTCGAGGTTATCATGGAAAAAACAATTACGAATTTTGAGGCGGGGAGGATCTATTTTGAAATGTTCGCTTTTATCATATTTCATTTATCACACTTTGTATGCCTATTTGCGACTCAACCCAATATTATGTTCTGTGTGCATAAGTTTTAACTTGTCTTTCGTTTTTAATAAAATTTATTATAAATCGTTCGAAGCTCATCTGCGTTTGTTTTAATGCTTAAATATAAATGATTTGTTGTAGTGTGGCGGCGATAAACATTATCGTACGTTCGTGACTGGCAGTCGTTTGCGGTTTCCTATAGTTAATTATGCGAGACTATTGTCGTGCTATGATGGTCATCACTCATCTCGGATGAAGGACATTTGGTGCATTAATATTCCAAATGTGTAGGGAAATGTTTCTGATTCTCGCTTTTTGATCGATTTGACAAAACGTACTCAAGCCTAATATAATAGGCTATGAGATTTCGTGAGTACTATACAAATTTTACTGCTATATATTTATTATGTTAAATTATATCTTTGTTGAATTTGTATTTATTTTTGTTTAGTACGTAAACTTGATAGCAGAATTAAACGCACAGTGTGTCAACATTTACAATGTCCAGAAGGTTTGCTATGATACTTATTATAATTAATTATAATAACCGACTAATTTATCTTCTGTCAGATTAAAAAAAATCTGTGGTTGAGAATATGCTGTTGCTTAAATGTGTTTCTATAAACTTTTCAAAATAGCTGAAACGTATTTTGGCAACATTACAATGATAACTACAGATTATTTTTTTCTAAAATATGGAAGTTGCATAAAAATTATTTTTTATATTATTATCAACAGACAAAAAACAATATAAAAGTAAAAAATATAAATTTTTGAGCGTGTTTAAGTTTTTTAATATAATAAAAAGTAATTTTTTAAAAACCAAATTTTGTAATGCCAACTGAAGCTTTTTGAAATTTACCGTAACACAGTTGCCATACAAAAATGGCTAGAAATATATAGCAGATTGAAGAAGGTAGCAATATAACTTTTACAAACAAACAAAAATTTTAAATGTTCAGATCATGGCCCTACATTAAAATTTTGTAACGCGATTTGCTCAAAACTTTTTTACTTGATACTGTTACGATAAAAAAAATATTAAATTGTATGCAAATATAAATTGGATTCAAATTGTATGCAACACGTTATTAATTAATATTTAAAAATTGTATAGATGGTTTCACTCTCATCTGAACGGTTTGGACGCTCAACGCACACTTTTAGATGACGGTGTCGAGGGATCTTTTTTAGTTCGAAAGTCCTACAGTAGAAAGGGACAGTTTGTGTTATCTGTGCGGTAAATTATATTTAATAACTACTGTTTAATTCATTACAACAAATCTCCCTACTTATTTTATATTATTTGTTACTTAGGCATGGTAATAAAGTAAGCCATATTAAAATTCATAACGATGGTGAACTTTTTGATCTCAACGGAGGAGAAAAGTTTTCTACGCTCACCGAACTTGTAGAATATTATATGACTCATCCGCACGTATTAAAAGAACAAGGAGGTATTCCAATACCATTACTCATACCGATTGGGTCTGCAGAACCTACAAACGAAAGATGGTTCCACGGACAAATTTCCAGACCCGAAGCGGAATATTTAATTCTAGAAAAAGGACGTCCAGGCAGTTATTTAGTAAGAGAATCTCAATCGGACCCTGGCAATTATGTATTAGCTGTAAATGTTGAGGATAAAGTGGCTGAAATTAAAATAAGATTTAATGTAAGTAATTTATTAATGTTAGTAAGTAATTTTAAATACTTTGTTAAGTACTTGAACATTACTTGAATTCAGTTAAAACACAACTAATTGTGTGTGAAAAAAAAGTTAATTGGGTTAATAAATTAAATTTTACTTTTTTTTCATTTAAGGGTGAAAAATACGATATTGGCGGTGGAGAAGAGTTTTTATCATTGAATGATTTAATGAAATTCTACAGTTTTAACCCAATGGTCGATCAACATGGCTCAGTTATACATTTAATGAATCCAGTAAATGTAACTCGTATAAGTATTGCTGGAATTGTGGATCGTGTATTTAAATTAAAGGTAAATTTCAATTTGTATATCAAATGGTGAAACAATGATAAATAACGAAATAAGCTTTGAAACTTGTTCTTTAAAAATATATATAACCTATAGTAATTAATTTTTATTTATTTCAGCATCAAAAATATCATCACTACGCTTTGGGAACTGGTGGCTTTTGGGAAGAATTTGATGTATTACAACAATGGGAAACAAAAAGAGACGCTACAAAAGAAATTGGATTTTTAGATGAAAATAAATGCAAGAATAGATATCGAAATATCTTGCCTTGTAATTATATTTTATCATAAATAAATAAATAAATTTAAATTTACAATTAAGTAGTAAAAATGTTTTAATATTATAGATGATCATTCGAGAGTTGTATTAAAAAATTGTGATAAAAATGTACTCGGTTCAAATTATATAAATGCCAATATGATTAAGGTAATTACACTATTATAAATATTTTTTTTTGTTTCTACTAAACTTTTTAAGAACTCTTTTTTTTTTTCTAGCTTGAACCTTACGCTTTAGCTGAAAATTACGAAACGCGCAATTACATAGTAACACAGGGATGTTTGCAGAACACAGTTAATGATTTTTGGAAAATGATATGGCAAGAAGACTCGCGTGTTATTGTAATGATCACAAAGTTGTATGAAAAATCTAAAGTAAATATTACTTTGAGGGTTGAAAAATATCAACATTTTATTCATTTTTAGTGAAATAAAATATTACTTACAAAATGTAGGTCTATTTGATTAAATCCAACGAAATGATAAAAAATTTAAAAGCAAATAAACAACTATTATTGTGTTCTATAAAAATAGTTAAATAACTTTAATTTTTAGGAAAAATGTGTTAAATATTGGCCAGATTTGGGCCAATCTTGTGTCTACGACAAAATAACTATCTTAAATCTTGGAGAGTACGCACACCAACAAGACTTGATCGTGAGAATGTTTGACATGTCTATTCCAAAATTCAGACATAGGAGGATATTCCAATATCATTACATGGTATTGCATTTTAGTCAGTGATGTAATCGTTGGGTATACACCTAACATATAACCTTATGATTACGCCACTGGTTATATTTAGTTTTACTAATATTTTATTGGTGATAAAATTCAGGGTTGGCCAGATCATGGTGTTCCATCTGATGCTGGTTCTCTTCTCGACCTACAATTTGTTGTGAATGCGCGTCAGTTTAACATAGAAGCAGAGTCTGATGTTTCCCATCCGCTAACTGTACATTGCAGTGCTGGCATCGGACGAACTGGAACATTTGTTGTGCTAGACCTTCTTATTGGCCTCATTAATCGCAAAGGTCTTGATTGTGAATTGGATATTCAACGTACTACACATATGGTGAGGTCTTTTCGTCCAGGTCTCGTTCAGTCAGAAGCTCAATACCAATTTATTTACACGGCCATCAATCATTACGTACAAACTATATGCTCGAGGATATCTGCTGAGAAAGTATGAGTTTTTACGATAAATTAAGTTGACATTTTGTGTACCTATTTACAATAACTTTTTTTTAGAAAATTGAGATGTTTGGCCGAGAATACCTAAATATTAAATATACCGATGAGCTTTCCACACTAGTCGGGCAAGAAAATGTGCCAACTTTAAATCCATGCACGGCTCATAGAGTTTTAAAGAACGCTATGACATGTAACACATACCCAACCACTGATTCACCTTTGGTTTCTCCTACCTTAGACAAACCAAATGTCGTTGAGCTTCTTGGTTACGATCCAGGAAAACCTAATACATCATCACCTACAATGGCAACTGCAGATTCTTGTCCTAACTCACCTACATCTAACTTGTTAGTATTTTTAGACTGAACTAATATCTATTATTATTTATTTAAACTGATCTTACATTTGATTTAATTCAAATGTAACATAATGCCTAATTGTCATCAATTGTTATAATCACTTAATAATATAAAATTGATTTCGTGTTAATGATAGGCATTGAAATATCTCAATCGTCTTAGTAAACACCCTGTTTACTAAGATGAATTACATTAATGACAAGAAATTAATTTACTCTAAAATTAATAAAGATTTCATATACAGGGTGTAATTTAAAGTTCTACCTAGCTTCAAATGAGACATTAAGGATACTCTATTGGTTCAATAAATGATATTAATTTGTTTTTAATTTTAAAATAGAACTCGTATCTCATTAAAAAATGGTCTACACTACTGCATATTAACTATTTTTATTTTTATTGAAGTGTGTTGAATTTTTTACATTGACATTTTTAATAACTTGCAGATTTCAATTACATTCCTATGAAAACATCACCTCACCCATAATATCAAGTGAATGCGATATTGGACCTCCGCCGTTGGAAGCACCTCCTCCCCCTCCACAGTCGCCGATTATTATATTATGACTTATACAAATAACTATTATCTCTTTTATTAATCAAGAAAAAATTGTAACAATATATTTTTTTAATCAGTATAGGCATCTCATTTTTTTTTCATATTTACATATTTCATTCATTTTTTAACACATTTTTTTTTTTATTGAAAATTAATTATTTTCATATTTAAACCATTACTAAATTAACAAAATATTAGTGTAACATTCCTGGTTTTGGGCCAAATTATTGATTTATGATAGCTTAAAACAGTTTTTAGACTTATGACTACAGGTCCATTGCCTGTTATTATCCTAGTTACATTTATACCAGGATTAATATTTTTAATGAAACTTTATTTTTTATTTACCCATGTATTATTTAATTGTTGAATTTAACACTTAGAAACATTGTTATGATATAAAAAATGTTATTTCATTATTAAGTTAAATATAATACTTATATGTAAAAATGTCCAAGTTAGTTTTGTTAGTTTAATCATAATAATTATTAGCTCAACTGTTTGTGCTTCATACTTTTTATTAGCATGGAACATGCTTTAGCCTTGGCCTCCCAGCTCGAAAATGACAAAATAACAACACAAAATAGCCCCAGCTATTATGGTCGGAATATAATTGAGTAGCATGGTCCCCTCCCTTAAAAATGACGGCGTGGCCACAGGCTTCAGCCCTACTTCTGTTAAGATTGATTTGACTTTTTTTTTAATAAATTATTGATGTATAAATCCTCTTGGATGAAAAAGGTATTAATTAATAAAAGTTTAAAAAAAAAGCCAGTACAGCGTGGTAGAGGGCATAGTGAGGTCGGTGTAGTCAAATACTCTTAAAACTGAGTAATAAAATCGTTCTCAAAAATAAACAAACAATTCAAAGCTAATCTAAAGATGGTACAAATATAAGATCAATAAATCAATATAGAATCAATAAAGGATTGTAAAGGCAATAACACAGAATAACCAGATGGGAAACTAAAAAAAAAAAAACATTGGAAAAGCTGAAAAAGGCCAAATACTATATTGTTTTTGCGGCTGGGAACCAGACTAAAAAAGGTGGACTATAGATACTTACAGTCTAATCTTAAACCTTTGAGCCCAAAACTACCTTCAAAAAAATGAAATAATGAAAAAATTTCCTGCTGGGGAAAAGGGTTTTTGATATTTTATTGGTTCATCAAAACATATATAAATAATACTGTTCCTAAAATATCTTAGGCACTTAAGAAAGGGGGGGGGGGAATGTTCGTTAATGATCAAAATCCAATTCTCTATTTTCAAGCAAAAAGGGGAATCGTGAAAATCTTAGAAAAAATGATACATTTATACGCATTGTTTGAAACAAGTAGAGATATGTTCGAAGCATAATGGGTCAGTCAAGTTTACTTATCCTATATAGTACCTTTTAAATAGTTGATAAAAATGACTTAACAACCTTTTCCCAAGCATTTATAGTTGAAAAATATGTATAATTACATATTTTGCCGTTACTCTTACTTGTACAGATTGACTGGCCTACCAACGTTTTGGAATACTTGCACATTCCATCTTCAGGGCTGTGGTTTGATGTTACTTGTACCGTGTTTGCCTGTAGACTGTATTCCGTAACGTTACGTAACGCGGCGCTCCCTAGCAATCTTGAGAGAGTTGTTTCCTGAACGTCTTCTCTCTGCGAGGAGACATCACCTGACCGCCAATGTCACCCGATTTATCCCCTTGTGGATTTTTTCTTTGGGGACTTAAGAAGGCAATCACCCAGGCAGTGGCTGCCATTACACCGGAAATGACACGAAGAGCTATGGCCTTTCTCGAAAGTTAAAAGTGAACGCCGCAAAGTGTAACCTGTGGCACCGTCTTGTTGGAACCAGACTTCTCCCTCATCATGGTTCCTAGCAAACTGGTTTAGGTTAGGTCAAAATAAAATGGCATGTATACAGCTATCGATCGATACCCCCTCCACCGTTGTACCACCACCACAACTCCCACAGTGCCATTTCTAAATAAGGGAGGTTTTTTTGCCGGACCCTGTATATAAATATATTAAATTTACCACAATAATATATATTAACGCAAAATCATAATTTATTTTAAAACAGTTAAATGATTACATTAAATTAATAACCGCATAATAAGAATAAAAATATTAATATGTTTATTACCCTGTATAGATTTATATATTGTTAAAATTCAAATTAATAAGTTCCATTCAATCAATTCTACAAATTTGAGTAATAATATCACAGAGAACTTAAACACTCAAATTTAACACTCGACGTTAATTAAATTAATTAATAAATACAGCATCATAATGACTTAAATATTAATTTTACCTTCTTACCGTCCATACACATTTTTTTAGTAAATGGAAAACTAGATATTATAGAGCTTCTTCTACTAATAGAGTAGGGTTATCTATAAAGAAAATTGTGATTAAATTAATTCTGAAAAAAAACTACATCGTATCATATTTGAAGATGTCATTACCAAATGTTTTTTTATTTACATTTTCTTCTTTATCAATGACAAATTCAGAATCGACTGTGTGTGGCAAATCCTCTGGTTCTTCGACTTTAGGACCAAAATCGTCTAAATTTTCATCTTTTGCACCTTAATAAAATCATAATTTAAAAAAAGAAATCAAACTTTATTAATCTATGTATCTTACTGCTAGATAAATTCCTGTGATCATCCATTTCTGTGGATTCACTTTCTAAATTTACTAAGTCAGTGATATCTTCAATAGTTTCAGAAGAAACAGGTTGGGTATCATGCATTATTTGTCTGTCGTTATAATTGATTGCTAATTGAGGCATTGCGGGCCTCGGTTTTAAAGATGGATTCCATTGTGAACAATATGCACAACGATATGCTAAAAATTAACAATTTATTAGATGACTTATAATAATTTAACCTTTTGAGTCAAACGTTACATTTTGTTTTTTTTAATTGTTTTAAGTGGTTTCAATAAAATATCACAATTAACAACCACAGAAAAAATAATAAAAAGATGGTTTCAATATAAAAAAACGGCTATGACTCGAAAGGTTAAATAACAGTTTACAAAAAAAACCTAGTCGGTTTTTTTTTTGTTTATTCCCAGCAAATGTTTGGTATTTATCCAAAAATATTGGGTTGAGCATACCCAAAAAACTAAGTTGAGCGTTTAAAAAAAAACCCCGATTATTGCAACTTTGAAATAATCTCTATTTTTCACCTAAATATTCAAATTCTTCTTTGCGTGCCATCCCGTTGTGAGAACCACACGTTCTACAGATTAAAGCGTAACGATTTTGAGGACCGTCCCCTAAAACTATGTCAGCAAGACGGTCTAATATAGTACGATCTCTGGGAAGCACTGGTCTAGGTAGAGACACTTCTATAGAAAAAAAAATTATACAACAATATACAATTAGGAACGATAAATTTTTAATTAATAATGAAAGTATAATGCTTATTGTTTAAATTATTGAAGTTCATAAGCACTTACTAGGCTTTACTGTGGACGCCATTATGGCTGGCAGTTGACCTGTGCTAGGTACTCGTTGTTGAGGTCTCCCAGTAGGAACAAATTGAGGTTTATTTGCGTTAGGCAAACCTCTTTGGTTATTCACCTAAATGTAAAACACTTGCTATTATTTAAACTAAACTGATAGCAATAAAGTAAATCATTTACTAACAAAGTTTTGAAAATTCATCGTCTGAAGTTGATGAGGAGCGTATTTTTCTAAAATTTCTTTTGCCACTTTAAAAGTTTCATTTTCCATTACTTCATCTAATATTTTTTTCTTTTCGCTCTGGAGTTCAGTTAATTTTTTTTTATATCGATCTATTTTACGATTATAATACCAAACATCAAATTTATAATAGTACAGCGCTCTGAAAAATACAAATAAAAGTAAACTAAACAATAACACTTATAATAAAAAATATATAATTGTATCGGCCACTTCAAAAACAAGATAAGTTATAAATTTTACAAAAACTACTTTTTTTTACAAATTTGACTAAAAACTACATTTGTCAAATTTCAATTTGACAAAATGTCGACCATAAGAAATTGGAATCACTGCAAACACTAAGCAATTTGATGCCTTACTTTAAGTTATTTGTGGTTATTGTGAAATTTCCGTATTATGACTTATGTTGTTTTTAAATAACCGATTCAATTAATGTATGACCAAAAGCATCTCACAAAATTGGATAAGCAGCAAGTGCAGCCATCAAATAATTATTTTCTAATATTTTGTAAGAAAATATACCAAAATAATATAGTATAGTAATTAAACCATACAAAAGAGCGGAATGAAATATAATTTTATAATAATTGATTGGAGCAGATTTTGATGTCATTCTTTCAATATTCATTATTTGCTGAAACAAATAATAATAAACTAATAATAACATTATACATATATTTAAGAGACCTACTACCAATTAAAATATTTAAGAAAAACCAATGTCAATAAAATTTATCTATTACTATGTTATTTATTATAAAATATAAATATTGCCGAGCAGAACTTAGGCTCTGAACTCGGCTTTCATTGCTATGGAGTCCGATAGTAGTATAGAAAACTCGATGAACTCTGAAAAAACTTACCACTAGGAATGAAAGTAACAAAGTTTTCATGTTTGGTTAGATCTCTAGAAAAATAAAGAATAATTTATAATGCAATATAACTTACGCTTTCTAAAGCATCCAAAACTTGTTTTGTATTTTTCTTCCCCTAAAAAAAAATTAATTTTTTATTTATATTTTTTTTAATTGTACAATAATAATATGTCTAATTAAAAATATTCTATACAAGTTTTATCTCTGAATATTTTACTGTATTCTATGACGACCCAAATGCCACTCAGTGCACTCAAATAAAATTGTATCTCTCTCTTAAACTCAATTATAATGGCAGACAACTAGTTGTATTAAATATAACAAATATTAATAATCATTTGTTATAGAAATATTAAAAAGTTAAATTAGTAATTTGTTTATTTATAAAAAAAACAAAATGATATATTATTTATTTTGCATGTAAAATATCATAATAATTATAAGCAAGGCAAAACATTTTGAAATGTGAATAAAAATGTTTTTTTGGATGAACTAAAATTTAAAAAAGTTATTATTATTTCAAACATTATTTTTGCTAAATATTATATTATTAAGTTACACAATTACAGTCAATCAAATGAAGAAAAAAAAAGTATATTAAAGTTATATTTTATATGGACTTATATGGCTGTCTAGGCATCTAGAGTAAACCATATAATGTATGTTATTATTTAGATTACATATTTTAATTCAACATTTACTGTTGAATCATTATTATTGTAATAATAATAATCACTTATTTTTTTTTAATTTAGGACTTACTTTGAATCGAGTGAGAATATTGCCCATGATTACCGTTTGTGACACCTTTTTGACATTGAAAATATAAACATCATTTAACGTCCAGCTAGTTATGCTAGTTCAACGTGTAGTAATTAATTGATGCATAACTTAAAAATATAAAAGCAACTCGACCAAACGTGGATAGGTAGCCAAGTTACGGACGTATGCGGTATTTATGACGTTTATAAAATATAAATTTGGAACCAGAATGTTGGAGACATTAATACACATTGATAACGGAACTGTATAGATAATAGGGTGTAAATAAATCAAAGACGTTCTAGATTCTCGAGTAGTCAACTGTCAAGGTCACAGGCACAGCTGAATCGAATTCATTCCAATTTTCAATTCAGATAAAAATCTTATATTTATTCACAGATATATATCATAAACTAGATTGCTAATTGTATATACCACCAATAAAGAAGATTGAAGCAGCCACTTTCCGCCATCCTGGTGGGAATTAGAACCTTATCACGCGAGAATAATATAATATGTTTACAACAATCACATATATATATACATACATATATACTATTGATATAATAATATACACAGATATATATTATATGCATTGATAACACACATAAATCCCACCAGAATGGCGGACCGTCGACTTCAATTCTTATTGCTAGTTAGCAAACTAGCTTATAATATATATCTGTGGGCGGCTGTGTAATTTTTGTAGCAGCCAGTTATGGAAATTGATAAAATGAATTGTTGACATATATACCATTTATAATGTGGTTTCTTCATGAAGGTCAATTTTACTATCGTTACAGATTAAATGATAACAGATGAAACATCGATCTTGATAGTTAATATTTAATAACACAAATTAAGAACTAACACCCATTACCTCAATTTTTCAAGAGTTTTGCTCCTAACTCATAGTAAAGTTTCACCACGATTTTTTGTTAAGTTGTTAAACAAAAATGTGAACTTAATTACTTATTTACAGTTGTATTGTGTTATGAAACATTGCTGTTTCGAATATGTCATCTGATTGTTGAGTTTGAGGCCTACAGCCATGATCTATTACTGGATTCTTGCCTTGTCCGTATTTTGTATAACCACTTTTGGTTTGTGGCTGACCACCCTTACTGTTTCTGTTCTTTTTGCTTTTATAATTAGGTAAGTTATCAGCATTTGGCTCGATTAACCCAAAATAGTCTTATTACCTATATTGTACATTTACAGTGTGTCATATTTTGCATACAATGCTGTAGAAAAAGAAACTGCTCAGTATCTAAAATCAGTGAAAGAAAAGCCTAATTATGAAATGTACAGTTTATTTGACATTCAATCGGTAATATTATTAAAACATGTTTAAATTTATTATTTTTTTAATTGTAATATCTTGGTTAGATATCAAAAAAAGATGACAATATTGAGGAAAATGAAAATTTAAGTGGTTCAGAGTACATTGACCATCAACTGTCAGACATATTGGATTTGATACTACGTGATTACGTATATCCGTGGTAAGTTATAAAATATAATGTTTATATTGACTGCCGCCAGTGAAAGAAGTCGTAACTTGATTTTTGAAACTTTTGAGGAGAATAGAAATAAAATTTCAATTTTGATTACTTATTCTAATTTTTGTATTTATTGTTATAAACCCCTGAAATATTTAGTATTAATTAGAGTAGTATTCGTACTTTATAAAATAAACTTAGATAAAGAATACAAAAGGTGCTCATAATTTTTTATTTTGATGCTCCCGTAACAGTATTCTCTTACAAGTTTCCTATACTCCCCGAGTAATTTTTGAAAATAATTTTTATTGTCGAAGATTGAGAAAAGAAGGGCTGTTTTTGTTACACAAATGTATAATAATCAAATTAGGTTAGGTTATACATCCTAATAATTTGTTTTATACATTGTACATTATAGGTATGATAAGTTAAGTGACGATGAAGATTTTCCCTACCAGCTGAATAAATCTGCTAGTTATTTAATCTATTGCATGTCTAAACGACTGCAGAAGGTCGATTTTCTACAATTTGTCTGTACGCAGCTAACCGAAGAGGTAGCCAAACACATACGTATCTATAGAAAAGCATTAAAATCAGTGACTTCCAAAAACTCTGATGATAACGACTTGGTAACTATATTTTTTCAACATGAACAAGACGTAGACAGATTAAATACGTCACACGCAAATGTTTGTTTGGATGAAAGTTACGAGAGGAGTAAGTCAATTTTTTCACCAATAAAATTAATTTAATTCACATTTATATTTAATTTTTTAGAATGGCTTAGAGATATTTCCGAAGCAATTTTATATCATATTGCTCCTGAAAATGATTTTAAATGTCGATCTATGCGCATTTTAATGCGTGAGATAATAGCCAATAAAATAATATTTACCACAATAAGTATGTTAAGTAACTCTGACTATGTTAACCAATTAATTATATGGCTGGTAATTTGAATACATTATTTTATTAACTGACAAAAATTACGTGTGTTAATTATTTTATCTTTGTATTTTGTTTTTAGTGCAGTGACTATCCAATAACGAATGAAACTTTTCTTACAGTTTTAAGATCGACAAAATCTACTCAACAATTAAACGCTGTTAATAATTTAGTCAACAAAGAAATAATGAATTTAGTAAAAGACTTTAAATTGTATTAATTTTTATTATTTGACTAAAAAATATTTACTGTTTTAGCGTTCGAGAGATTCAGGAGAATCCGAAAGTCGAGCAAAACAACAATTGAGTAGTCTAATATTTTTATCCAATTTAATCAAAACAATCGTCAGCAGTATTCCTCAGCAATCTGACAGATCTTTAGGTAATAACTCATTAACATAAATTTGATAAATGATCAACATTTTGTGTGTTTTAGATTTTTTGTTATCGTTTGAAAATTCTATATCTTCTTCAAAGAATGATTCGTTATCGTTAAAGTGGATTTTAGAAAGCAAGAATGCGTTGCCATATTTTATTGATTACTTGACGACAATAAATTGTGAAAGTTTTATGTCGTTTTACATTAATATTGATGGTCAGTAATACTATAATGGTTATATTTAAATAAATAGTATAGTATTAGTTTGATTTTCAGGATGGAGACAGTTTGTACACGAACAAATGCAAAGTGTTAGTAGCGATCCTAGTCAGTATACGTCTTCTGAACAAGCTACGGTAGATCATATTAGAGATGAAGCAAAAAAATTATACTCTTTATATATTAGTCAAAAAGTATTATAATAACTTTAAATTAAAATTTTTATTTGGCAAAACTAAATAAAATCGTTAATTATCTAGCCTGAAATTCAAGAAGAACTCGAAGACGATCTAGTCAATACACTCGCTAAAACAATTCAATCAGATTCAGTAGATGAAAGTTGGTTTGACGAGACTCAGAATGCATTATACAAGGCACTTTTAAAGGTATTTGGTTTAAATCAAATATCTTTACTTCATAATAATCTTATACTTAATATAATGTAATGTAAATAATGTATATAATTAACACGTTCACTGCGGATCATATTAGTCTATAATATACAACTTGCACATATATGTTAATATTTACAAATAACACTGAAAAAAAAAGATTTAATTGTAACACTGACTGAGTTATAGTTCATTCTTAAAAAGGTGCCAATAACGCTTTTTTGTGTCATATGCATAATATGTGAACTATGTTATTATGATGTTAATTGGATCCATCGGCAGTAAACGTGTTGATAAAGTCAACTAAATTAACTAGTTTACATTAAAATATTAATATTATTGTTGTTGTTTAAAACAGCCAGAAAAAGGAATTATATCCGGTTTTGGGAAACACGAATCGTGTTCACGATTAATAACAGACCTCGAAATGAAAGCGATAGGATCAGATTTATATGAAACACCTGAATCCGCTGTGCCTGCATCTGATTTCTTGTTACCTATGGATGCCGTACAACAACTTTTTAAGGGCACTGGAGGTAAGTCTAAAGTTTTTTATTTTTCATAGTTTTTTTTAACTATAACAAATAGGGTGGTAATTCATTTCTACTAATATTATGTCCGCTAACCAAATTTGGACTAATAGACAAAATATTATTCAGGAGGTTCAAATCTGTCATGATATATTTAAAAAGCCAGTACAGTGGCGTTGGTGTGACCTTCCCGTTTCCACTGTGCTCCAACTATTTTTTCAAATGACTTTACTAATTTACTTTTTTTTTTTGTCTTTTTAAAAATAGAACTTTAAATTAATTTGGATATTTTTTAAATCTACTTAAGCAAGTAAAAATTAAAAAACCGAAGAGCGTTATATTTAATTAATACTAAATTGAAGTACCTTATTCATAACTTCTTGTCGGGTTTCATATATGTACTAGAAAACCACTTTCTTCTTCTTTAAAATCAAGGAGAATATCAAAAATAATTACAATCCAATAATGGAAATCTATGAAATATATGTATACAATAAAAATTGCCATAAATAGAACAGAACACAGTTCAAAGTAGATATTATAAAATTGAATGAAATATTGTTCTACTAAGTATAACTGTATTTATTTATATAAATATATATATATATTTATTTTTCAGATAAAGTTAGTGATTTTCTTTCTAGTACAAAAGCATTAAGTCCTAGTCAGCTGGAAGAAGACAAATCTATATTATCTGCAGACATAATTGAAACTGGTTAGTATCATTGTTATTAACAAAATTGTGGATCTAAAATGTATTAAATTACAGGTCTTGTCAACGAAGCCGGTAAAACATTTGGGGTTTATGCAGTTTCCATAACTAGAGTTTATATGTCTGGAAAAGAAGAAAACTGGCATGTTTATAAACGGTATTCAGATTTTTATGATCTTTATCAAAGAGTAAAAGACAAAGTAAGTCAACTGAAACTTACCGCCTTTATGTTGAAATTGATGAAAATAAGCTAATAGTTACTTTACAACGTTAATATTGAAATTTTTTTAGTATCCAGAATTGGGTAGGCTGTCATTCCCGGCTAAGAAAACATTCCATAATGCCGATAGACGTGTTTTAGAAAAACGTATGATGATGTTAAATCAATTTATACACAATTTACTGAAGTCATCGACCGTAGCTAATTTTCCTGGTATACAAACAATGGTTGAACAATTCCTCGAACAAAGGCCTGAAGATAAAAAAGCTCTGTTGTCCGGACAAATTGTAAAAACAGTCGACAATCTTTTGTTTAATCCGTTGAAAGCCGTCGGCAACGTCGTTAAAACAGTTCCTGATAATATATTTAATACTGTAGATGGAGTCATGGACAACATTAGCAAAGTCCTTGGGCCTGCCAAACCTCCGGGTAGAATATTCGTCGACGAGGTTTGTTAACTGTTGTTTAAACATTTGTAATTTTATCAGATCATCACAGTGTCTATTAATGACGTTTTTGCATTATCTTTTAACCAAAACATATCTATGTAGATTGCTTTTTACTCGGTCCATGATAGTTTTGCAACTTATTATCTGATTAATGAATACAATTACAAATTACTTAGTTTTAATTAGCTAAAACTCTTGTCTCCTACTAATATTGTTTTAAAATATCTAACTATTTTTTTAAATTATTACGAGTCAAAAGAATTATTTAGAAAAAAAAGCCAGTACAGTGGGGTTGGGCATTGTGGGGACATTAGGTATTAGGATTTTAGGAATTAAAAAAAGTGAAATAAATAAAAATGATCCACTCTTTCTAGAATAGGTGTATCAAAACTGAGAAAAACACCCAAAAAATTTAATAATCTGGGGGGCCGTAACATTTTTGTGGAATAAGCGTTTAATGTTCAATTTTGCCATTATAAATAGAACTTAATGCCCAGAAATGTTGGCATTTTTAATTTTAATTTGGAATTCAAATTAACAATACATTGAAATGCGCACAAAAATATTTTAACATTATGTATACTAAAAAACAATGTGCTGCATTAAAAAAATTGATGTCTCATGAAGTTTAGAGCCTTGTGAATATAGTTTAAATATTGGTTAAAACCAATCTGCCCATGATGAACACAACATCAATCTTTATAGTTAATTTTTATTGTTAGGATTTCCATGTTTAGAAGAATTTATTTTTAAACAATACATTTTAATTTTAGGATGACGATAATATGCCAATGCGTGCGGTATTACTTTTGTTGGCTGAAGTTTTTGAAGTTGATGAACAACAACAATGGCTACGTAAGCGTTTCGTCATGCTTTTACAGCATATAGTTAGAGCGTCGTTTGGTCATATAGTCAACAGACGGTTTAAAGATTATGTGACCACGGTTACAGATCCCTACAGGGTTTCCTTGTTAATTGCTGCAATCAAGTACAATATAAACAGCTAGAAATTGACTGACACAGTTCGAAATTAAAGTACTATTTAATTTTTTTCCAGAAACAATTTATGGCCTGATGGGGTAAGAGCTTCTGAAGTACAATTTCGCGACACAGAAGTTCAACTTAGAACTCTGTTAGCCGCTAAATGTGCACTATTGTCTTCTGTATCCGGTAAGTTTCCCCTTGTTTTTATTCTTTATAAAGGGTCAATCCATACCAAATCAACAAAATTGGTTGTGCAACTGTTTTTAAAAATTACAATATTCTCTACATTTGATACCCTAAGGAAAATAAATAAATTAAAAAAAAAACTTTTTTAAAAACCGCTTTTAAATAAAGGCTTTGATTTGAAGATGGTGAAAATTATTAAGTGTAAATCATTATACTGAAATTATTTTTAAAACAAGTCCTTGTCAAGTTATTTAGTTTTTGTTAAATTTAAATACTGTATAATATATTCACTTGAACAAAAAAAAAAAAATGAAATGTTTACACCTAAGGTGAAAATAATACAAAGTATTTGTTTTTAAGAATATTCTAACGACCAATTTTGTTATGGATTGGTTTCACCCTTAATAAATACTAATGGTTAACAAAACACATTGTTTCTCAGATGAACTGAAGCACTTGATGGGGAGCGAAGTCACTCGACGCGGTATTTACTTGGTCGTTGTAATGTTACAACATAAAACGCTCAACAAGCGTTTAATTTATGTGTTATTAAGTGCGTGTTTGTTACTAGTCTTTCCAAATTTCAATGGTCTCATAGATAAATTACACAAAAACCCCCCACTACTTAGTCGAAGCTAGCTAGTTATGTTATATAGTAATTATTTTTATAATTTTTTTTTTTTATAATAACCATGTACAAAATCATGTGGAATAACCAAATAAATATTACACACTCACAATTAACAGTGTTTTACAATAATATATATTTTCATTCCATCTAGTACATAAATACTTTTTTTTTTATCAATGATATTTGTCTAGATCATAACAATTTGTGTATCTTAAATAACTTAATTTATAACTATTTATTTATTATATAATTAACTTAAGTTACCCACTTATTTACCGTACCATTAAACTAAAAAAAAAACTTTATTTAGATGACAGTTAACTTAGTCTCAAGATAGGTAAAAGTAACTTTTTTCAATTTTATGACAAAATGTGTAAACAAAAAAAAATATTACAATACAAAGGCACATCAGTTACATGAATTGTAGTCAATAGTATAATACATTATCACTAAAAAAAAATTACGATAATTAAATAGGTTATCATTAAAAAAAATTAACTAACTGAATGCTTTTGTATAATTAAATAAGAATACATTTTTTTTCCAAGCTCATTAAATATTTTAATAATAATAAAACAGAACTTTACTAGTCAGTCTAAGATTACTTTGAAAAGTTATCATCAAAGCAGATTGTTTTAAAAAAGTTATATTCAAATAAAACAAAACAATTTGTCTTAATGAGGAATTAATTTTATACATAAACATTTAAACCACAAGTAGTCATTTACCTATTACAATTGATTATATACAAATTATATAAATATATATATATTTAAAACACATTGATATATATATATTTTCCTAATAGTATATATATATATATACTATATATAAAAGCAATAATACAAAATAATTGATGAGGGCAAATTGAACACAGTATGGTTATCTAAAATTGTATTTTATTTATACAAATGGAGAAACATTGAAACGGAAACCAACGAACATGTAAATCAATTAGGTGAAGGTTGGTCGCCAGAAAATGTGTAATGTTTTAATCTAGATTTGATTTCGAGATCACGTAATGCTTGTTTTGCCCGTGCTCGTACTTCCTCGCTACACGTGCTGTTAAACTTCTTGAGCCCTCGACGGTTTAACGCGCCCACTGTGAACATTGGATGAACTTGGGCAGGTTCAGCCGCCGGCGTTTCTTCTGGAACTGTTGGCGCTTGGGTGGGTTGGGATGAATCGTCTAAACGCAAAATGTTTATTGTTAACACAATATTATTTAAACGTGCCGGAAAGCAATTAATAATATCAACTAAATGTTTCCTACAATAAATTAAAAAATCAAAGTATTCCAATAATATTTTAAATGTAAGGGTTTTTCTTATAAATAATGGTTTAATAAAGGGTGGTTTTTCTTCTTTAATCTAAATTCTAGCATTTTTCAAATCCAAAATTGAAAACCGATTTTTACATAAAATTTAGCCTGCGATAAATTTGGTTAAAATCAGTGTAGTTAAGGAACGATTACCCGCGCATCATCCCTCTCCAGAAAAAATTAACTATAAAATAACAACACACAATACAGTATTATAGAAGTAGTCCCATTTCTCATATGTACGCGTGTAGTAAAATTGCCTATGCAAAGCGCCTGACATTACCAAATATTTAGAGTGTAATAATATAATTATATAAATCAAACTTACTGGCGTTGTTAGTAATATCAAGCCGAGTGGATTTCTTTGGACTGTTGTGCGCTCGGCTGATATGTTTGTTTCTTGTACTGGTCGTTTCAAAACTAAAAAAAAAAAAAAAGAGAATTGTCATTTTTGATCTCACTTTACCAATCTGGTGAGTTAATATATACCCAATGTTACAAATCGGACACTTGTATATGCTCGACGAGTCATCAGAATCGATCATGGGCGTCAATCTTTGAGCGGCTTCAGACAAAGCGGCTAAACGAGCATTTTGACGAAGAGCGTGGGGAGACTGCCATTTTTTAGTTTGTGTTTTACTATTAGACCCATTACCATTGCGCCCTATTACTTTTCGTAAATCTTTGGCGAGCGCCGAATTAGCAATACTACTAGACACAGTGGTACCCTTTTCATTGTTACGTAAGGCGCATAATTTTCCCAACAAAGTTATGGCTCCACCGCTCCAAATTTTGCCAGCACTTCTGAAAATATTTGATTTAGTTATAAATATATTTGCGAGTGAAAAATTAATTAATTAATTATTTATGCGAAGCTGAGAAGGTGTTTAAAATATGCTCTTACGGTTTTTGTGTAGAAGAAATAAGATTTTTCAAGGCTTGATCCAAAATTTCACCTAATTTGCAGACCATTTTGTTCTTTAATTCCTTTCCGTTTTCCCTGAAAGTAATTTTGAAAAATTAAATGTACTAAATGTTTTTTTTTTATTAATCTCATCTTACCCATTAGAATCGTCAAACTCATGATCTTTTACCATGTGTTCTTCGAGAACTTCTGGTCCTCCTTCCGTGATAAGCTTGCATACCCAACAGACGAGTAGGTTATCAGATTTTATTACATTAACTACAAAAATATATTTATACTCGATTTATTCATTTTTTTCCCCATAAAACAAATTATAATCAAGTACCGTTTCGTAAGTCAAATATGATTTTAAAGCAAACAAAAATATAATTATTAAGAATAGGTATTAAATCATATTAATCGTATTAATCATATCAACAATAACATTTAATAAAATACAACAAGCTTTATTCTTTTAAATGAAGAATATTGCAAAGAATTTTATTATATATTTTCTTTTTAAGCAATGATATTTACCTAGTTCAGGATCTTCAATACTGTGTACATCGAGGGAATGTATACGAAATGCTGCAATACCTTTGTAGCATTGGTCGCACACCTTACATTTAAAGTTCAGTTCACTGTTATCTGGCATTTCTTTTTTCTCTTCCTATGTAAGATATATTATACAAAATTGAAAGTTTATAAACAAATAATGTCAAACCGATTGAATAGTCAGGAAATGAAAAATTATTGACTTACATGATTAATACCAGTTTCTTGACGACAATCTAAGTCCAGAAGCTCCAATTTATTTTCCCCGCCAGCTTCTTGATCCACTTGAGCAGGATTTGTACCAAAGTTTTGTAAAATTGCCATTTCCTCGTCAGTAGCACCCATCGCACGCTGTAGCTCCGACCAAGAGTAGTCATTTACTTCTGAACTAGTGACATTACTATCTGGTCCTTCCAAAATCTATCAAAAAATAAATTTATGAAGTTTTATGTTAAAACCAAGCAATAAGTTTTAAGAAACTGAACATTATTTTATGACAAAAAACTATGAGTTTTTGATGAGATTATAAAAGAAATTGTAAATAAGAAAGCACAGTTTGATTACTAAGTTCATAGGAAAAAAGAATATATAGTATGATAGTAAATGGTATATTTCAATAAAACGAGCCAATAATGGTGAATTGTTTTGTACGATAATAGTGTCGGAGGGAGAAAAGATAAAAGAAATGATGAAAATAATTGTACGAACAAAGAACAGGGCTAAAAAGAAATGGTCTAGACAACTGAATACCTGACCATCAAGAATGTCTTGACAAAAAAAACTTAAATTTTGAATATATCCTTTTCAAATACTGCATGCATATGATAAGGTAATAAATCAATTATTTTTAACCAACATACTTTGTTAACCGAGCTCAGAATAGACCCCAAGCTAATGGTGGAAGGCAAGTCGAAAAATGAATCTGATTGTGTATGCCAACGGGGTTCCGCAACTTCTTCGGGTTCCTTTGACTCTGTGACATCAGCGCAGATCGGAGCAGTGGCTTTGGTTTCACCCTTGTCCATCTGGATTTTGGATTCATTTTGAGCAATTTTTTCTAAGTTCAAACACTTTTCTTGAAGAGGAAAATCTGTTTTTATAAGTTCATTGAATACCTCCTCACCGTTTGGCAAGATTTGTTCTTTGTTTTGGTCTGCTTTTACAGCGCTTACTTCAGAACACTTGGAATTTGGCGATGACAAATCAAACTCGGTTGTTGAAGATTGGATTTTATTTTCAGTCTTTAAATTTCGCTTTCTTTTTCTTGACCCAAAAAAAATACCAGGTTTTCTTCTATTTTTTGCTTTTGGCTTAAAAGGATTCACTTTAACAACTTTTTTATTGTCAGAAGTATTACTCGAACACATATCTTGACTAGATTCAAGGTCAATAAAACTGGATGACTCATCATCATTAACTACTAATGCTTTATCATCCTCTTTTTCTAAAAGAGGTAATTCAGTCGATGGCAATTTCTTGACCTTATCCCTTTTACTATTACGAGTTTGCACTTTAGGAGCATCACTTTTAACAACACTTTTTTTGGTAACAGCTTTATAATTTTTCTTTTTCACTTGAGTTCCTACTTTAGTTTTTTCAGTAACTTGGACATCAAATTTTGTATTTTTTACTCGAGTTTCAATTTTAGCTTTCTTTGGTGGAACTACGGGTTTTTCAAAAACCTTTTCTGGATTATCTCTCTTTCTGCGTAATCGATCTTGTTTAATTAATCCAATTTCTACTTCCTTCATCAATTTTATCCCTTTATTCTTGTTCACTGATACTTGCACAACTTCGCTGGAAACGTTTTTATCGACGTCTACTTTTGGATCTAGTATTTCGTTATGATCGTGTTGAGCGATTTTCTCAGCTAGTTGTTTGAAATCATAAGGTGCTCTTTTACGTTTTTTAGGTAGAACTACTGGTGTGGGCGCAGGAGAAGCCATTAGCGTTTTTCTCATAGCCGCTATAATTTCTTCGGTTTCAGACTTACTGAAAGGTGTTACATGTTCGGCTGGTTTTGACGGAGCTCGCATAATATTTAATTTACGAAGAAAATCTGGAGCTTCGGATATGAGATTGGCAGTTTCTGGTGCAACCGGCAGTGGTTTTTTAATTTTTTTACTATATACAGTTGAACTTGATACAGTCAGATTTCGACTCATGTCAATAGGAACCTAAAACACAATAAAGAGATTCATATTAACATACGCGATTAATAAAACATAAACAATTTGCAATTTCAAAAATACCTTTCGCCCCACAGCCTTCTTTACGTTTCAAAGCAGCGTGTAAATATTAAGATATACAGTATATTAACAGGGTTATCCAATATTAAAAATCTCAAAAAATTTCCCACACGTTATTTTTAACGTTTGTTTGGTAAAATAATTAATATTAAAACTACATACAATAGGTTACCCCAATGTAATACTTACGCTATTTATTGTTGCTTGGTTATTTCCATTGGGAGCTTCAAAAACTAATCTCCTTGTGACTCGTTTTGGAGGTAAATCAGCTATCATTCGGCTTACGCTTTCGGCTGTAATTAAAACAAATTAAATGATGTATAATATAAGTAACACGTACATTTTTTATTGTATTATATTCTTAATTTTTTTTTATTTATACTAACCATCGCCAGGTTTAGTTTTTACAACGGGTAATGGAGGTGTGGGCGGAGTTCTTTTAAGACCGTGTCTGGCTCTACCATTCCTTCGCCTTCGGAAATTGAACGGTCTCCAATTTTTCCTGTAATGTAGAAATAATATTTTGAATCAAATTTTAAAATTATATCTTATAGTGACTTACCTAGATTTTTTACTATTTGGCGATTTGGTCGTGTGAATCATGGTTTTGAGCCACTCTGTATCGCCACCACAATCCAGTAAATGACGATGGAGCTGAGCGAGATCATTTTCTGATTTTCCGCATTTCGTACATTGCGGAACATCAGTCTGGAGCTCGTCACATTCTGTCAATAAGCCGATTCTGCTCAAATTTCGTTCAGGTCGCTGACAGAAGACAAATATATTATTAACTTAAGCTATTTCATTTTAGCTTTAGCGTGAATACAAATGATATTAATTCTATGACAATGATGTAATTTTTAATCTTGAATTGAATTTTAAATATTTGTGTCAGTCAAGTTCATCTCCCAAAATCAGGTGTATATGACATATTAAGAAGATGTAATACCCATTATTTAATAAAGAGTACTTTTAGGAAATTTTTTATGAAATATTAATTTAATTTAAAGCTAAGAAAATATTGTATATTTATTATTGGTAATTATTTTTTTATCAGACCATCACAATGCTATTGGCAACGTTTTTAATTACTTTTCCAACCTAAACATATCATTTTACTTGGGCTATGTTGGTTTTTTTTTAAAGAATTATTTTGATAAAAAGCTATGTTATTATCTCTAAAATTATGTCCTCATCATTATTATTGTGTTTTTATGCTAAAATAATCATGACCCAAGTAAAATGATTCTGTGTAGTGAAGTTTTTATCGTAAAAAACTAAAGGTATAATGTCATCTTAACCAATGTTTAGAACATACATAAAAAAGATGTATTCATTGTTAATTTTTTTGTTGCAAACATATTTTAACACGTTTAACAAATAGTTTTTTTTTTTTTGGTAAGAGAACCATTTGAAAATAAACAAATTATTAATTGATATTATGAATAATAATAAAAATACCTTAAATTGTTGTTTCCATAAAAAAAAAAACATTTTAATCAAAATATATATAAGGGATCTAGGAAGAAGTTTAAATTTTTGCTGTCATCAATAGGTATATAGTTGACATAACGAATACGTTTATTCAAGACTACAAACAAAAATCAAGTATACAAAAAGAAAATGGAAAATTTTAGAGTTTATGGTTTGAAAATTATGTGTGTACCTATAGCATAATAAACTTGTTTTTAGAAATCAGAATCTTGGAAAAATATAAATAACACAACAAAAAGCATAATAAATTGCAATTTGCATCAAAAGTTGTTTACTTGATGGTAATTTTTATCATATTCAATCAAAATAATTTACAATGGTGTCTACCGCCCTCGATTTTTGAAAAAATGATATGTTGCTTACCCATATTTGGGATGGTAGTTGATCCAACGGTATGTCATAATGATGACAATGCACATTGGGGTGTACATTCCACTTATGATAATAGATCTCCCAAATATTGGAACACCTCATCGGGCACGCCGAACAGATGTAAGTACGTGGGTACAACCATTCGCCACTAAATCCTTCCAGTTTTTCTCTTTCGAGATCTATTCAAAAATAATGGTATAACAAAAGCTGCAACATTGTACAAAAATAACAAAATCTGATCTATGCTTACCGTGGGGACTCGGAAACCCATACGATGAAGCCGCGTCAGCTTCTAAGGAACCCATTGTCATATCATCTTCACTAGATGTCGAACTGGAATTCAAGGACGGCACTGTACGTTTGATTCTATTCTGAATTTCTAGATTCATGTACGATATATCAAAAGGTAAGCCCTGTTTAGTGACCAACTCGTTTTTATTGTTCAAGTAAACAAATTGGGTTCCTCTAGCGCTTAAATCTTGAATCTCGTCTTTTAATTCTTTTTCTTGGACTTTTACAGGTTTTTTTGGTAAAATCACTTTACTACTAGTTGTAGTTTGTAGTAACTTTTTTGTTATCTTTTTGTACTCCAATTTTTTACCATGACCTAAGCTCATATGCCGTGCTAGATTCGGTTGTTGAGTAAATCCTTTCTTACAATCGGGGCAATAATAAGGGTAAACTTTGGAATCCTCTTTCTTTTTAATTATTTCTTCTTTCTTTGATTCTTCTTTTTTTTTCACTTCCTCTTTTTTCTGTTTTTCAGGAGGAACTGGAAGTGTTAGAGGAAGCACAACAGGTAGAAGAGGTTCTTCTTTAGTAACTTCAATTGTTTTAGGTTCTTTGACTTTCAGTTCTATTAGTTCGACTATAGGCTCTTCGTGATTGTAAGTCTCCTTTTTTATACTGCTGTCAGATTCCAATTTTATACAGAGATTGTTCAAACAAATATTTTTATGATTCTTAGCCAATTCTTTGGATACAAATCTCTCTTTACACTCAGCACAGCCATAATACATGTCTTCGTGAAGTGTACACATGTGTTTGTGCAACGTGTACAAATCGAAAAAGTTTAACTGACAATAAATACACATATGACATCTTCTTTTGGGAGGGTGCATTTTAGATAAATGACTCTTCCGATCGTCTTCGTTTTCAATTTTTTTATCACAATACAAACATAATTCACAAACTTTGGTAACAATATCAGATAATTTTTTTACAGCAAGTGAATGTAAAACGGGGGGAGGATGACTGGACACGTGACGCCGCAACTCAAGTGGAGTGTTAAATGACACACAACACTTGTGACAGTGATAGTAACCAATTTGACCATTAGAGTCTTTCCATTTGGTCAACATTTTATCAAGTCTATCACCTCTGAATCCGGCAATTTGCAGATCTCGAGTTGTCAAATAATGATAGTTTATGTGTGCCTTCAAGTAATGCTTCTTCAAAGCTCCCCTACGCTGGTATATGCCGGGACATACGTTGCAAGAATAGAGCTTGTGTCCGTTATCTGTAACACGGATTTGTGACTGATCAATTGAAAATTCGTAACTCTTTGAGTCGGTTGTACTGCTACTAAAATGTGGAATGGGAACATTCAGCTGTTTAGTAGGAGTCATTTTCATTTCCAGAACAACAGATGGTTCTGGTATTTTTCTGTTGTTGAACACATTGGTTTTGGGCATTACAATATAACTAGAAACCGCCGATTGATTGGTTTTATAATTATTCATAGGAGTCAATGACACAGATGCACTCAGTGATGATGCCGGCGTGGGAATAATACTCAACGTAGTCTCATTGCGAATTTCTTCCATTGCTATATCCGTGCCCAATCGCTTTAGTCGTTGAAAAACATCTAATGGGCGGTCGTTAACTGGATGAACGATTGGGTAACGTTGTATTGTCACTTCCGAAGTAAGTGGAAACAATGCCGGAGGAGCTCGTAGGCTTTTCTTTTCTGAACCAGTAGTAACAGGTGCAGGATTCAACAAATTGTGTAAAATCGATATGGAACTTTGTTCCGCTACCGTCTCTGGATAAGAATTATCTGAAGTACATTGTTTCGCTAAATGAAGTTTGTTCACTACGGCATTCAGTCGACCACCACCTGGTGTCTTTTTACTGACAGATGGAGGCATATTATTGTGTATCACAGAGCCTGCAATATATATTAAGAAAATAGGTTATTAATAAATGGATTATTACTCGTTTTTTATACAATATTTTAGAAGTATAAGGAACAAATTAATCGTAACTTTAAAAACGGTTATTTTTGACAAAAGTTTGTTTAAACCTGTTCAAATAAATTATAATACAAGTAAACTAAGTTATAAAATTATATTTATTGACTCAATTAATTAATTCAATTTTATTTTAATTTAAATAAATATCCACATTTAATTTAAATACATTTTTATTTTGATAAATTTAAATAATACACAAATGATTACATAAATACATTTTTCGCTTTAGTTTAATTTATACTTAAATCATAAAAATTGTATTATTTTAAGTTATGAATAGTAAATTACTTTATTAATTTATACTCATTTATATTTTATTATTTACTTTATAAATTTAAGTAAATTACTTAAAATACTCTTGATATTTTTATTATTTATTTTAATTAGTTTTATAGAGTTTATTTTATAAAACTTTGGAACAGCTTTAAAAGTAGGTTTTTTAAATTTGGAACAGGTGTAAATGTGAAATAATGCATGACTAGTCAAATTAGTTTACATATTATAAAAGTTATTGTTAGAAATATAATAATTATTTAAAGTTTTTCCTGTAATTTTATTAGGTTTCATTAATTTTGAAAACAATTTTAATCAAATAGTAAAGCCGAATAAATATTAATTATAATTTAAAACCTCAAATTTTTAGACAAATGTGACTTGTCATATTTTATTTTGAAGTATTACATTTTAAACTGTTATATTATAAATGTGCTCCTTAATGGGATAATGATGGTTTAATAACATTAATTGAATAAAAAAACAAATGGATTTCATTAACACAAAGTTGAGATTTTGTTTTTGTCTAAACGCGACCGTCGTTTTCTTTTTTTTTTTCTTTTACAATAAAACGTTCTCTAACGATTAATCTGTAACTAGAATTCGTTCACATACATTATATTATTCTTGGTGCGTTATGTGTTTGAAATATATACAATTTTATAAAACACACAAATCAATATCACGACCGAGTAGTCGTCGTAAACAATATATTTTATAAATTGTATTTATCTCATAATAATGGGTTACGGCGATAACTAGAAAAATGCTAAGGAATATTAGCACACTACACTTGTCTGCATCAACGACTATTAATAGTCAACGAAGCTTAGAATAACCTTGAAAAACTACGTTTACACAACCCTAACACAGTACCACCACACACAGTAATTTTGTCGACCATAAATAACAAACAGTTAACTCGGAGCCTAGCTAGTGAGTTTTAGATAACAACTGTGAATAAGTTATAATAATTTTTTAACTATACTACTTACCACCGTGAGGGAATGACATGTTCCGATGATGGTGTAAGCTGCTCCCCAACATATCAATATTGGCGTTCGATCACAACGTATAATATGAGATAATGCGATTAATATCTGAAAAAATACATATTTTTTAATATTATTAAAAAAACAACCAACTTCAGACAGACGCGTATGGGTAATCGATTTTTTGGCGCGTAAAAATTGATTTAGTATTTGATTTATCAAATATTCTGAACACTGTTTGATTTTTAAATCGCTTTAAGCACCGCCCTGTTTTTTTCTTTGCCGAGGTAAACGAACAACAAGCGATATCTCTCGAATCGCACACACTTTTTTCCCACACGGGCGCGTTATTTGTCAAAAAGAGAATATTCGTAAACAATGGCAATCTTTGCACACAACCCTTGATCGAATATGAAGAAAACAGATCACACGTGCACACGATAGGGGCAGTATCCCTTCTCTTTGTGAAGGGTTTAAACAATTTTTTATTGACTAGGCTGACAAGTTAGTTTTTTAGAAAGGAAATATACATATATATATATTTAAGATCCAAATTCATAAATGTGTAGTTTAGGTAGGAGGTAAATACAGTTTTTTTGAAATCTAAAATACTAAAATACTCTCCTTTAGTTAATTTATGCCATTCACTATGCGCGCGTACTGCTTTCATGTAAATGTTCGATAAACAAAAATTTGAAATGATGTCGTTTGCTAAATTCACCTTGGTCATCACTAGGTACGTAACAGTTGCTCTTGCAGTTTAAACCTAGGACACTCGTGATCGCGGCTATAGATGATATTATAGCCGAATATGGTGGTTACATATCTATAGCTCGTGCTTGTATTCGACATTACGGTAATACGAATCCTTTATGTATAAAAAAAAATAATGCAAATCTAGACGATTCGGCTACCGAAAAAGCATCGTTATAACAACTATAATAACGGATACACCTATTTCTATTGATCATGTGTCTATACACGTGCTTGACGTGACCCAGATATTATGTATGAATGAAACCGTTCCCAGCTAAAGTTTTCCTTCGTACAACGAAACCGAAAAAACATTATCATCCCCGCGTTCAAAGCATCAAAATGAAGTTAGTGTTCTGCGAATCTTACTATAATATATTTCATAATACAATAGCTCCATCAAAACGATAATAAAACAATATTCTTCTCATATAATAATTATATATAAATTGCAGAAACGCCATTCAACAAGCGACAAAAATTTAAATAAAATTAAAATTCATCCCACGGCTAATTCTCATTAACCTTTATAAGTATGTCTTGGCTACTTTTTTGTGTATATTGAGTTCTTATTAATTTCTACACAACACACGTTACTAGTTGACCTATTTTACTCTTACAAGATACTATGATATAAATTTGGAGGGTACACAGGTATAAGGGATTAAGTAAATTGTTGACAAAATATCTAATAAGACAACTAAACAACAATATATAAATTACATATTATTAATGATTTTAAAAAAATATAGGATTTTTATTACGACAATCTTTTTGTATGTACCCAGCTAGTAATTTATAAAATTTGTAATATTTGTGTTATAATTTTTTCCAAAATCTTAACTAATAAGAATGGTTCAATTCATTAAAATAATACGATTTCCGTCGACTTCTTCCAAGTTCTTTTGTTGGAAACCTATTTTCATTAAAAAAAAAAAGCATATGATATTTAAACAAAAGCCAGTATAGTGATGTCGGTGCATAGTGAGGACAGAGCATCTGGGCAGGTTAGGTCAACAAGGAATTATTATAACTGAATGTGATAAAATCACTTTCAAAAAAACGTTCAATGCGATTCTGTAGATGACAGAAATACAAAAACCGATAAAAGCGTTTTCAAAGATATAATTTGTTTCAAGTTGTTACCTATAAATACATTGTGATTAACGGTATAACGAAAATATTTTTAAATACCTGTTGACTATTATTTTACTCACGCATAGCACCCTAGAAATAAGCAACGGTCAATCTGTAATTATTCCCTTTTTCGGGAGAGTTTTTGTCTAATTTTCAAAATTTAGTCCCAAAGGTTCGCTTGAAAAGAGAAATAAAGAAAAAGTTTCCACCGTTTCTAGGAGAAAGGGTTGAAGAATTTTTTTTTTATAATTCGACGTTCATCGATAGTACTTTATCTTAAGAATATGCCATTTAAATTTGAAACAAATTCGTCTATTTTTGAAAAAGTTACAGTGCACCGTAATTTTAAGTTAAAAAATAAGTATGTTGATTTCTTTTGGAAGTCGTAGAAAAAGATCTGAGGAACCTATAAGCACAATATAGGAGGAATATACTAATAAATCGAGAGAAATGAAGGAATTTAGTGATAACAGCAAAAACTCTCGAGGAATAAGAACATTTACTTTATGTTATTTTTATCCGAGATACGGCGAAACCATGAAAAAAATTACTTTAGTCAATTCTAAATAACTGATAAAATTCAATATTTATCGGTTTTTTTTTTTTTTTGGAAAACAACGTTTTCTATGAGAGCTAGAAGGCCAAATTGTGATTTAACACTTCAAAAATGTGTAAAATTGATTCGGAAAACTATACAAAAGTAAAAAATAAACTGTTTTGTCTTAACTTGACATCTTTCCGTTCCACTTAAAACGTATAATATACAAACACTAGCAAAAATTTCATCTAAGACGATATTCAATTAATGAAATAAAACTATAAAAACTAGTTATTGTTTTTCTTAAAGAAAAACATTCACAAACGATATATGTATACTAGATGTGTGTTGACTTCGAGATAAGCATAGGACACATTTACACAGAAAAAACCAACTATATCATACCTAATAACAAAGTTCGGCCTACGTAATTTTTCCAAAAATGATCACTATATTATCATACTTTTTAAATGCTGTACACGAATTTTAAATAATTATGAGAACAAACTACTCTACCTAACGTACGCAAAATACGTTGCATATTCTTAACAGACAAAATATAATAATACAAATAGAAAAACGTCTGGAGAAAAAAACATTATTTTTGAGATTTTTATATATGTGAGATATTTCTTATAAATTATATTGCATATAAACGACGAAATCATCACCTACCATCCCTGTAAAACCCAATTTAGTTTAATCAATGATCTATGACTAACATTTACTACAAATTGCTAAACAAAATTCCCTCTTATTTGTTAAGGTTCTTTTTTCGAACTCGCTCTTATCGCTCTAAATTGTTGGACTTTTTTAGAAAATACCAGAAGCAAATCGATTGATCAAAAAGCTTCTACTCTGACTTTCCGCAGTTTTTAAAAAAAATGTGTATAAATTGTATAATAGACGACGCGGCGTGGTGTACCTTTGGCGTAAGCAATAATAAGTAAATAAATACTCTAAATTTTGATTTAAAACTTTCATGAATGTATTATTTGAATAGTTCTAACTTAAATTTGTAAAAATAAAGAATATGAAAATTTTAATAATACTGAAATCAATGTCGATAAAACATTTAGTGCTTTTATGAAACATTAACTTTATTTATCTGTTAACTTGGTTGTGACACTTATGTAATTCTTAGTTTTCATTCTGGAAAATAATTAGGTCAAACAACTATTTTGGCTCTCCTACAGAGAGAAACACACATAAAACTAAGGCGTATATTTTTCGACTTATGTTACAGTTAGTATATTATTATTCCATATTATTTTCAATAGCTTTTGCTGCGACTCAACATTTTATAAATCGTTTTCCTGGTAAACATTCGGTAAATATAAACAATCCACACTTTACAGTAATAGTACGTACAATGTGTACAGAACTTTAATGCACAATTTACGTTTTATTTGTGTTGATAAGGATGTCACAAACATTAATACAAATACAGAAAACATTAATGCTCGATATTAAACATATATATCTCAGTTGTTAGAAATTACTTAATCGTAAGTACTTAATAAACAACAATATTATATTCGTACACAGAAATTTTAGGAAATTGTTCGAGTTTTTAAAATATCCATAAGGATTTCTGCAAAACTATTTGTTTGCAAAAAAATAAATTCAAACTACGAGTTTTATTTAAATTAACGTAGTCTATAAAACTAAAAAGGTGGTACATTGTAGTAAGTATCTGATCAGGACATGACTAAAACAAATCCGGATTTACAACGAAACAAAACAAATAATAGATAGTACTAACTTCAAGTCATAAAAATATATAATACCAAACTAATGTACATTTTTTTTGTGTTTTCTCGATTTGCGAGGGAACTTCGATATAGACTTCTGATCTATAGACTGGCTGATGGCTCTATAAAAAAATCGTCTTGTTGGTTAAAAAATAATTTAAAGCTCAGCTTTTGGGTAAATATCAAATATTTCCAAACCCACAAGGTTCTTCACACCTCTAAAGTTTAATGTACCAGACCTATGCGTATATCACTAAAGAGTATTACGCTGTGATGAACAGCCTTTTTTTTTCTTTTATTCTCCCCTTCCCCTCTCTCATTACCCCGGATGACAAGAATTCGATAGACATTCAGATAGTAAAAAAAAAAATGTAATCCCGACGGCTGCGTTCAACTCTAAAATGTTAATAGCGGAAATAACTGTTTGTTTTATTCGCTCTGATGATCACCATAACGGCAAAATAAGATTATTTAACGTTTTTCACTATTATTTTATTACTGTCTCCGAGAAACATACAACAAAACTGTACAATAACGTTAACGTTTAATAATTATACGTTTTGTAAAAACGTATTGATATTAGGCTCTTTGTTATAATAACGAATTTCCAATATAATATGTAATAATTATAAATTATAGTTATTACAATATTGTTCAATAATTTTTAAGTTTTATCTCGATACAAAAGCGTGCAACAGCGTGATTTCGTTAAAATATAAACAATAAAACAATTAACATGAACAAATAATAAATGTCAAATTAATAATTAATTAATTAATTAAATTGGTATTTTATTATTTCGAAAATTAAATAAAACGAAATGACTAATTATCATTATATTTTTAAACGAAAATAAGTCTCCACACCAAAATAATAAACAGGATGATTCCACAAACTATGAACCTATCCATGGGTTAAATATACTA